TGACTCCTGATAGGTAGGAGCCAACTGCCATCAAACACATGCATCAATCACACATTGCACATGTGCACTGTGATGAATAGATCACTGACAGAATGTGGCAATGAATATGAACTTGACAAAGAAGTTAAACTACTGTGACGGCTAGAATGAGCAGAGAGAGAATTTTTGAAGAAAGACGTTTCCCTCTCAGCTGCAGCCTGAATGTCCTGCTTCCTCAAAAGAACTTTATATCCGCAGCTTTAGGCTCAATATATTCTGTTTTTAAGCGAAGCGATGGAAGATTATGAACGAGGCAGAGTTACAAGCAAATCACAATTTTCTTCTTTGTCTTTATATTTATCACTATTTGCATAAACTGACTGGAATGGAAGTTTTTTTTTTTTTCTATTCCCACCCAGCCAACCGATTTTCTATGGCTCAGCCTTGTCACTTACTCATGTAGTCATAATGGTCATCCAAGTGTGTAATTGCACATTAAAAAACGGCTAAGAAAGTTAGTTACGAGCAACACTGGAGAGTCCACCAACTCATTAAAGTTAAATGGCATTTGAATAGTGCAGAAATATGGCCGTCACCGCCTGCCACTTAACTCTGTTGTGCATGTGAAATCTCTGAAAGTCAGATTAAGGCGACAAAAACCAAATAATGAACCTCAACTAAACGGATGGATTTGTTGCCAAAGCTCATTCCTGAAGATTTCTGTCCCCCTTTCTTTCATTCCCTGCATCATTTTGTGCTATCTGCCGCAGAGATTAGAGGCTAAGAATCAGTTAGAGTTAACACAAGTGACGAGAGAATGACAGTTCATTCAAATGGCCAAAATTACTGGTGGGATTTGTGCAGGAGAGTGACCAAGCTGTGTAATACCGTGCGTGATGGCAGCTGACAGAACAGCAACCGGGGGAGAGAGTGTTTGGGACTGTGACCCTTCTTTTTGACAGAGGTCAGAGTGGGTGTTTTTGCCTCAACACATGCTGCTCCAGTTTGGTCATTGTCACAGTAGGAATATGAAAAAGAACTATATGAAAAAACACCAAAAGGGAGGAAACAGGAAAGTAAGCTGCAAAATTACATATAACAAGGTTTTCTCTGGCTGTAAATTACACCTGTTACAGTAAGCAACCGCTATTACCCCTGTTGTAAAACCCCACTTACACAGCTGTGAAAAACACAGAAATTACATCCACTCATGATGGTGGATGGTGTCAAGACTATTATGTTGGTAATTTTTTAAAGGTTAAAACATAGTCATATAACAAAATAATCTATTAATGATAGATGTCAAATATGTTAATTACAAAACAACAATAGAACACATGAGGCTTTGATAACTGTTTAAATAAAACAGCAAAAAAAAGATCACCAGTTTGATTGCTAGCAGTGTAGCTGTACTAGTCACATTTCTGTGAGGACTGAGCATGTTCTGTCTTGGATTAACTCAAGTCCATGTAATGAAATATAATGATCTTCTTGTTTCACTTTACCTACAATTTACCTACTCAGTGTGAAACCTGGAGCTGTTTAATTGAACACAACGCTGATGTACTAGCAGAGGTTTTAAGAAAGACAAGATTTTTAAAAGCCCAGTCGCTCTCTGTTTTTCCAGTTTATATGTCTATCTGCTGCCACATAGTGGAAGGGTATTTTATTGTTCTACCTATCACTATTGCAAATACTATGAAAGAAGGATTATTAGCGGTAGATACAATTTTTTTTCAGCCCAATTAAGTTGAATGAGATAGTTTTCTACGGTCCACCTGATGCTCTCTCGTGGCACACAAATGTGCCGCAGTACAGGGTTTGGGTATCAATGGTCAAAATTGTGTTTTACATTAAATCTTTCATTTGTAGGAAGCTACTAATACTATGTGTAATGCATGGTGTTATTAGGCACTCAGTATATGTTAGTATGTGTTTCAAAAAATACACACGCATACTGTAATACATATCAATGTTTTTATATTTTTAATACAGCCAGATTAACAAAAGAATTTAAAATTGCTTTAGCCCAAAATTTCATGAATTTGCAGACCATTTAAGGGTTGCGCCCCACATATTGAAAATATTTTTGAATGGATCCTACATATTGTGAATTGTTGTTAAACTGAAGGTAAAATAAAGAGGAATTTTCCTATCGGTTTAGTAACAGCTGGTATTAGAATTTCACTACCAGTCACCACTGATCATTTCTATTCTAATAATACGTATTATTAATTTATTCCATTATTATTTTTAAGTGGTTGTTATTTAAGTTCCCTGTGGGTTTGCAAATGTTTACAACAAAGCAAAGAAAGAAAAAAAAAAAACAATGACAGAAATGTATCTGATGTAGGTATACCTAAAAGGCAATCTAAATACCTTTTGTATTTGCAGCGCTACTAAAGTGCTTATCGGGAAATTCTATCCTTTCACGAAACGAGTAAAACAAGGGGTTAAGGGTAAGTTAGAGGGGCAAGGGTTGAAATCAGATTGTCTAAATGACTTATAATGGCATTTTCCAAAGATCATATTTTCAGCTCTGGGTCAGACTGGCGGAGTGATAAATAACAGCCTCAAGTACAGACATAACACCATTACTGTAAGTGCATTACAGCACTTCCTGAGCCGGCGTCATATAGCAGGTGCTATATCTTCTGGTTTTTCACTGGTCAGTACTTTTAGCAGCAGAGCTTTTCTGCAGTCGACTATAACAGCCCAAAAGACTCTAAAGTGTGAGGATTTACTGCAAGGGAACCGGATAAACCCGACCAACACCATGTCTGGCTTTACTGAGCCGCAGGATTGACATGAGCACAAAGAATCAAATGCTTGGCTACATTCTTGGACAGGAATATATAATAAACATAATAAACTAATAAACATTTCAGACATCCTAGAATTAGAGTTTTTTTTTTTTTAAAAAAACAGCGTTATAGATGCGTACACCAGTGCGTCCATCCCAGCCACTTCATCTCATGTTCCATTTTTCCTCTTCATCTCTGTCAATCCTCCAACACTTTATACTATCATATTGAGTATTGGGAATTAGAGTGAAAGGAGATAAAAGCCTAATCAGTCATCCATCTTCCCCGCTCGTTCACTGAGCAGGGTACATTATATAAATCATATACTTTTTGAATTATTCCCATTTCACTGGTTCAATATTTAATTTTGCTGCTATATTTGGCTGAAGGTTATCTCATCCCTTGACAGTGTTTTATAGATGACATTCAAATCCTTTGAAACGTGATAATTGGTTCACAGCTCCGGAATGCAACGCTACACTGCAGCACAAAGTTTTTGAAAGACAGAAAAAACAAACAAACAAACATAATAAATAACTCAAAAGAAAATTACATTTTCTTTTGGGCTGTCAAAATTGAAACTTGTTATTTCATGAAATGAATCAGAAATCAAGAACTCTGACCAACTTGAACGTATGGGCAAACTTACAGGCACTGTAATTTCCAACAATAACTAACGTTCATCCACTTTTTTTTGCTTTTTTTACAGATTTGATAGATTGTTATTTACACACACTTACACACACTGTGGGAAATAGTCTGGAATTCACCAAAATACCTCAAGGTTTAAATAACATCTCAACACCCAGCTCATGTTTGCGGGACTTTTGGGTCGTCTCGCATCACGTTTCCCAAGAGTTTATGAATAATGGCTATTGACTTGGGTCGTACAGGTTCATGACTTTTAAAAATATTAAACACTGTATATGTACACACACACACACACACACACATATATATATCATGTTTCTATATTCATATTCAATCATTTAGATCTTTAGTCTTAAATAAAAATCCTATCGATTAATCAGGATTAATTGTTATCAATTATAATCACAATTATCATGATTTGAGATTATGAATCAGGTTAATTAATCATAATTAAAACATACGATCAATTCACAGCTCTATTTAAAATACAATCATTTCCTGCCGGTAGCCAGGATTCTCTCAGGTTTTTCCCTCATTGTATCCCCAAGCATGTCTGTAATTAGACTTTTTCAATAATTCACTTCAGTTTGTCTATTTAAATGTGGTATCAGAGCAGAGCCTGACATAAGCTTTTGTGTGCGCCCTGGCAGAGCAGCTGCTCGTGCAGATATTAGCTCCTTCAGTGTTCTGTCTATTTCAGCCAGCCCGATAATACAGCCCTGAATATTGAATGTGGTCACCAGGGGGACAAGCAGGCAGAGGAAATGCAAAATTTACTCTTTATTTGTATGTGGTTTAATTTTTTCCAGTGGGCTTTAAATGGCCAGCCTTGAAGTCAATAAGAAGATTAAAAGCAAATATGGTTTTGTCAAACCATGGACTCGGGTGAGAGCTATTCATTTTAGTGTCAGCTTTAAGTCAAAGATTTTTTTTTCCAGTCAGGCCTGGTTTCTTACTGTAGCTTACAGGGTGATTAATGTGACTCTCACAGCCCAGGATCTTTTCACCCATCTGGTCTTTGTTATTTCAAGTCAGGGTTCAAGTGGTTTGGAAATTTAGAAAATGTAAAAAAAATGTGAGTGAGTTTTACATTTAAATAATGGAATAAAAATTAAATAAAATAAAATATCTACTCTAATCATTGCTGTAATTCAGCAGAAACAAAGTTTGATCTAACAGGTTCTTTGTCAAATGCTCAGCAGCATACTTTTAAATGTAAGGTTAAGATACTACATTAACCTGATACTAAAACAATAATGACAAAATAATACATCACCACCTGATATTTGTTAAAATCACAAGATTGAACATTGAGAAAACAACTATAGCTTGTCATCTTAACTTTGCACGACATGCCATAAACAGTGACACTATCACTGTTAAGTAGGCAGATAGGTGGCAGTATCGGATGTGAAAAAGCTGTATTGAGCCATCCTAAGTCTCGATGCTACTCCATGTTTACCTGGGTAGAGTTTAGACAACAGCGCTGGTCATTTCCCACAACACACTGTATCCAATTATAGTAATATAATATATAAAATCTTCACTAATATTTAATTTGAAGTTATTACTTCTTTTAAGTGCACACTCGCTTAAAAGTATAAATATGTAATTTAGTTTGAACAGGAAAAGTGCTATATTTGGATATTTTTAAAAATTTAATTTAATTTAAAATACATTTCATAAATGTTATTACCAAAATTAGTACAACAATATTGAAAACAAATTATAAGTGCAAATTAGATGGAAATAACAGACTCCAAGAAAACAAAGCAGAATAAATAGTAAAAGGAAATAAATGTAGATAAAATAAAGTCACATTTAGTGTTTTAACGACTAACAGCTACCGCACGTCTCCCTTCACGCCTGGACAACATGGAAAATATTCTAGGGTCCACCTTTTAACACATCACATGTGAGTTGAACCACACAAATTACCACCTGTAAATTACCACCTGTCGTACTCCATTCCCTGTATTAGTTTACTACAGTAACAAGTTGCAATTGCGAAGGTAGGCAGAGAAGGAGAGTTCTTTCATTATAAAGTTTGCTGTAAATACCACACAGTATGTAGGCAGTCGGCTCAACACGTTAATCCTTAACCTTTCAAAGCACATTTACTCCACCAACATTAAACATAATTACAAACACTTTTTTTAGCACTTGGAATCGAGGAGGAGCCAACGTTTCTGAGCGGATCCCACTGCCAGCAGAATGGTGCAGGCTCCAACAGACCTCCCTGAGGTTAGGTTTCACTGCAGAATAATTGAATAATGAAAACTCAAATCTGATTTTTTTTTTTTTTTTTGTGAAATGAAGAATTGATTTTTTCCCACTGTCTTACAGCATAGAGGGAGCTCTGAACATACATCAAGTCGATTCACTGTCAGACAAAAGTTATTTACAAGGTGCTTTTAACAAACAGGTCAAAGGAGATTTCCTAACAAACAGGTGTAAATGTGTGTGTTGTATGTGCAGTACATGATGCGACATCATTGGGATAATGTTGCTCCTCACAGTACAGATCAAGGTAAAACACTAAGCTGCTTGTTGTTTTGAACTTCAACACAAAGCCGTTAGCCAGCCAACAAAAAAGCAGAACAAAGCTACTCCTGCATAAAACCGGCCTTCGTTCCAGTTTTTCTTTTTTCTTTGAACACATCCGAATGATAAACAGTAATGATCACACTAATGATGGTTGTTCAAGGTCAGTGGGGAGCTACAAAGTGGATAAGGTCTCAGTGCAGAGGAGCACAGGGAGGACACCAGTGCTGTTAATCTGAGGAGCCTGTGCAGAGCGGAGCTCGATAGGAAGGGGTTCAATGGCTGTTCAGGCTGCGATAACGCTCCATCCCTGCCACATGCTCCTACTGTACAACCCCTGCTCTCTCCAAACATGACTGGCCTAGTTGCCCCCTTCCTTGGGCAGGGATTTTGCCAGCATGCGATAAGATGCTCCTGAGCATTGCAAAATAGACCAGGTATTAGCTTTGCTTCATCTTCACAAAGGAATTCCGCGGGATAGAGTTAAAGGATGAATGGGATGAACCCCCGACAAGAGCCAGACCCTATTCTGGGTGAACAGATAAGTGGTGCTCTGACAAGGGCTTCAGAGGAGGGTGAAGGGGGGCTGGTGGCTCCCCTGCTGGGCCAGATGAAGATGTGCTCAGCATGGGTTCTCATCATCAGCAACAACACACTCAGGCCAGAAATGAGCAGATTACAATTATATCTTCATCTGGTGGCTCATGAAAAAATGACACAGGGTTTTATTAATAATGAGGATGAACAGTATTTATCCTCAATTAGGATTCTCTCTTTATGCATGCACTTAGTGGATGCATGAAATGTAATATATTTCTTTGCCACTGCATGTGTTATCTGACGTCACAATATATTCTGCCCTGTATTTTATTTTGGGCTCAATCAGAGTTATTTCTATTGCTATAATTTACAACACAGAGAAAACTTGATGAAAGAAATCCCTAACATTATGGTTTGGACTGTGATAATACATTGGTTACAATTAAACTGTAGTCATTAATCATAGCTCTTCATTAGAAGTTAAAACAAATGAAAAAATAAATAAATAAAATAAGTTTGAAGTTAAGACAAAACTGGCCTTGTTTAGTTGAAAACACTGCTGATGTACTCACAGGAGTTGAAGAGAAACACATGAAGCTCTTCCTCAACAGTTTTCTCTCTTCTAGTTTCCATAACCATCTAGTGGCCTAGACTAAACAAATAAATAATGTGCAGTTCATAAATAAAGATTTTCAGACCAATTATGTGAACTTCAAAGTACCGTAGGACTTGACTATTTACTGATGATATTCACTCATGTCAAAAGTCGGTCCTGAGAGTTCCAACATGCAATCTCTTAGAAATCTTTTAAAGACTTGAAAGTGAGTTGCATTAAAAGCCTGGAAGTATCCTTATCTAGTAGCTACAGCAGCAGAGAGTAAATCTGCAGAAGTGTTTTTTTTTTCTGTAGTACTAACTGTATTAGTACTACAGTACTACAGCTCATGATATCAACAAATAAGACCTGCCAAACAAGACCGCTTGAAGCAAGAGGAGGAAACTCCTCTGTCAAGTTGTTGCAAATGTTCAAATTCATTCACACTGTGCTTCTCAACGGTTCAACCGTCACCTTCCCGCGGTTGGCTACAGCTCCTCTCACCGTTCTGATCTAAAGTTTTAGACAAAAATGATCACTCTATTTGAGCAGATGAGTGAATGTTTACAACAGTCTCCATTTGTCAAGGCCTCACACTTTTAGTTTTCATAGCCATCTGCTGCCACCTAACAGAAGAGTATTTAATTGTTCTGCCTTTTATGCTTTGACTAGCAAGGAAAAATTATATGCAATAAATAATTAATAGTTTTCAGCCCAATTAAGTGAAATCAGATCTTTTTCCACGGCTAACCTAATGATCTCTGACGGCTCACTAGTGTGCCACGGCCCAGTGGTTGGGAATCACTGACATAGAGACAAATAACATTTTACAACCACAGTCCATTTGAAGAGAACAATCCTGGGTCAGATGATGAGGATTGTTCAGAGGTTCAGGGGTTCAGCGACTCCTGTGACCTCTGATATTTCTAGTATCACTGCTCCCAAGGAACACATTTATGGGTTAAATGCAGAGGACAAATTTAAATCCCTGTATGTTTTTGTATATGTTCAGATTGAACCTGGTACTGTTGAACTGTGAAGTAAAACGTTTTGACTTACAGGTGGCTAGCGTTCTTACCTGACATCAAAAAGACCCCTTTTTGGATGCTTCAATTGTTTCACCAGGTCTCCAGTTTCCTCTCCATGCAGCTCTGGTTGAATGTTCGCTCCATATTGGCTGTAAATGCAAATACATGGTTCCTGTCTCTGTGTGTGACCCTCTATGGACTCGGAAAGGTCCAGGGTGTCCCCCCACCCTAGTAGTTGAGAGCTGGGGTTGGCTCAGCACCCCTGATTCACCTGAAGAATTAAGGAATAGAAGATAAAGTTTATTAAATCATGATTTTGTACTGCCTTAATGATCATACACACAATGTAAAAGAGTTTCTTTTCTTTCTTTTTTTAGTGTTTTTATTTACACATTACTGTTAATGAGCAAGTATAAAAAACTGTTGGCTTTCCTTTGACTGGATACCATTTGACATAGATTAATGACAGCATATTCACAAATGCATTATTTTAATATTTCAAGATAAATAGCAAGTCACACTTATTACTCTTGAAAAGATTCACATTAAGAGTTTGATCATTTCATTTGCAACACTAAAGTAATTAACTTCATTGAATATTTACTCTTTCC